AAGAGAGAGAGAGAGAGAGAAGAGAACAAATAACTTCCAGAAGCATTAATTGGTTTTCCATAATATGCCTCATCTATTCTGTCGGAAAACAAGGTTCCCTATGTAATCATGGAAAGGACTTAACAAGTAACAATAATCATGTAGATAATATATATAAAAACAAACGCAATAGGATAACCTACCACTTTCTAACACGCATAATATCAGTGTCATGTTGCTTAGATGGTATACAGTTTAGATGCTCCACAACAGAATTCAAATGGGTCCAATTCTGCAATGTTGGCCAGGCAAGGCAGATAGAAAACTAAAAATCAAAAATAAAATAAGCCTTCCAAACATATTCATAACTAATATATACCTGCATTGCTACTACGTCTGCATGATCAATTACCAATACCTGTACAGGATGCACATAAACATGATTAATCACAGCAGGAAAAACCAAACAAAAATAAAAGAGCAAACTATGCATTTCTGACCTCTATAGAAGAGAAAAAATCAACATCCTTTTCCTTCTCACTCTCAGCCTCTGCAATTATCTGACAAAAGCAAGTTTAAAGATGCAATTAGAAAGAGAAGCTGATTCACTTTCTACACTAGACTCCAAACATTAAATCCATTAAAATGAAGATAACAAACTCGTATTCACCCAAACAAAAAGATAACCTACTCTTCAGGTCACGGAGTTTAAAAATATGATCACGAATCTAAATGAACTGAATAACTTGCTAGTGTTAAGATAAGCCTTTCATTCACCCAAACAAACAGATAACCTGCTCATTCAGGTCTTGGAGTTCAAAAATATGATCAGGAATCTAAATGAACTGAATAACTTGTTAGTGTTAAGATAAGCCTAAGAAAGGTAGAGATGTATTACAATAGAAGCATATTACATAGCATCTCTATGACCAATGTGAAGCCCAAGAAACCAACCTAAGCGCTACATAGGGCAACATCATGGAATACTATGACGACTTTTGGACTTCAATCCTGGGCCAATATTCTAAAAAAGGCTGGATCCCTTTAAGCATGTGCATATAATGGCACCTATTAAACTTTTCGACTAGTACCAAAACTTTTGATCTCATATAGTTGGAGAGCTCCTACTACTGGGGAGCATGGGAGTACTTGCAAGGGAACATTCAGGATATGTCCTTCATTTTGCATTGTTTATTTCCATTTCGGAGTGAGCAATATACTCCTAATGCTGAGGATCTCTGATGGAGGGCAAAATTATTCTTATTTTTTACATTTATTCAATTTCAAAGGATGCATATTATAGTTTAGTTTTATTATTTCTAGAGGTTTTTAATTTTTTAGGAATTCTAGGGTCTCTATTTATTTTATTTTTTTATGAGTATTATTCACAAGTACTGTTTATGGGGTACTGTTCACATGGGTAAAACTCTTATTATGAATTTTTAGTTGAGTTAAGATATGCAGGTCAATGTATTATTTGTTTAGACACTTTTTGTACTTGGAGTATTAAATTATAATATATAAGAGGTGTGTACGACCTTGAGGTAGTGATTCCATATGATTTTTAGAAATTGAATGAAAAAAAAGCTTAGTCTTTTGCAACCCTAGCTTGGGTGTGGAGAAGAAACCCTAGGTTTCTTTGAATTGTGCTTGTGCTTGGCTTGTTTCTTGTTGATTTTACTGTTTCTTCAAATTTCCCTACATCAGACTCCAAAGGGATTGCAAAAGGGAGCAGCTGGTGGTACAAATATCCCAAAAAAGTACAGATATTACAGCCTTAGAGATGGATGGGGTCAAAGATGCTGAATTGTGCCATACCCAAATGTAACAATAAAGGAGCTGATAGAAATGGAGAACATATAAAATTGGTGCCCACCATGAACAAGAAGAAAGGGAGATTAAACTCATTAGGCCCATTTGAGGACCTTTAATGGAAAGATTATGAGAAAATTGGAGAGTTGACAACTTTTTTGGAGTTTCCCTTTCAGAATATTCAGAGAAGATAATATAGTTCTTTAGCCAATGCGGGGTCTCCAGGGAGGATCTATTTCCCAGATTCCGTATCCTCATTTCAACTCAATGAATATGTAAGTACCTCATCAACGAATTCAGGTGAAAGGAGATAACTCAAAAGTATACCCAGCTTGTCAACCACATACACCACTGCTGTATGACAAAATAAGTTAGCCATTACTCATATATCTTGATAGAATGGGCAATCATTCATCCATGAATTTTCCTATTTCTCAAGAAGGAATAAATTTTCCAATAGTTAAGAACATGAACCCGATCTGGGAGGCAAAAGATACATTTAATCCAACAAGCAAAGATTCTAATCCCAAGTTAACACGTGTAGACATGATCTTGGAGATCGCAATGAAAATATATCATTAACAATCAGGTCCAGCAAAGATTTTATTCTACATCTGACAAGTAAAAAAGTATTTTGGAGAAATCATAAGAACAAAATGAAGTCATGATAGGGCCAAGAATTTCCAAACAGATGCAGAATTGATATGCACCCAGGAAGATGCTGGAGGACACTTACAGTGATTAGACCAAGAGGAGATGCAATGATCATATCTGAATTGTAGAAGTCAGCGTAGAGCTTTATGCTTTTCCTGCAGAGGCAACATTATAAAAAGTTATTAAGGATAAATCCCGGTACCATGTCTAGGAAATTTGACATCCCCAAAAGCCCAAACCATAACACAAATTTACTACAACAGAGGGCGCATAATGAAGAAAAAGGGCATGAGATCAAAATGTTAGAAGGGATCCCTATTCACCATGTTGTGAACAATATGCACACAATTAGATTAATCATTAGACATGGCCTTACAACTTCAAAACAAAAAAAAAACATGATTGTTCCCAAAAACATCAAATGATGATGGTAGAAAGGGAACACAATACAAAGAACCATATTCTTCAGAGCAATGACACATTAGCTTCAGATCCCAGGTGCATCTTTATGAGGTAATAAGTAGTGTTCGTAAACCCGTGTCCCAGGACACCACAAGAAAGCATCTCTTAAAAAGAAAGAATAATCACGCAACTGAAAGAATTTTCCCCCTTATGAGGGTGAAGCAAAAGTTATGGTCCAAAACCTTCACCAATTCACTTTCCTTTTATCAATCATTCACTTGCAGATGCCCTTCAACTAGCCTAATCTACACATCAAGCGATTCAAGCCAGATTTTCCATCAGGTCTCTTTCCCTAGTGCAATCCCTTTCTCAGAATTTCCTAGAACTAGCAAACAAAAGAAGTTTAACTTTAGCTGCCCCTTTATTTTCCCATTCGCGTTGCTACAACAAGGGAATCAATTCCGATTAGCCGCCCCATGCAATAATCAGACCAGAAACATTGCAGAAGGCTTAGACATAAAGCATGCATTTTTCACCCTAGGCTCCATTCCTCATAGGAAATGGGAACGAGTGTGAGTATGGAATAAACACAGCTAGATTCTCCGTTTCAAAAAATTGTGAAGAGATGATTCTTGAGACAGTGGACGTGTAGAAGCCATTACTTCTGGTCACTTCTCATGATGTGTCAAATTATTCTCACAAAAGAATCACATAATATGATAAAAGAACAACCATATAATATGATAAAAGAAAAACCATATAATATAGTACTCTAGACAAGAAGGGATGGAATTCGAAATGAATACATTCAAGAGAATTTAGGTGTGGCACCAAGAGAGAAAGTAGACTTACCCAATACAACGCTTGTTCGAAGGTGTGAATTAGTTCAAGTGGGAGGCCTAACAGGGACAAGGGGTAAAGGACATGTTTGTGGACTGCTAAAAAAGGCCAAGGGATAAACGACATGGTTGTAAGTCGTGAGACAAAATATAGGAATTTAGGCCTTCACTGAGGGTATGGCCCTCAATAGAGCATAATAGCAAACCAGGAGTTGTGTAGCCGACCCCAATTAGTTGGGAAAAGACTCTGATGGCGACAATGATGATAATATAGTATTTATTTTGGAAGTTTTGTTTATTTTAATATTAAGTTTTTATTCATTTAAAATTCTAAACATAAAGAAGGGATACGCATCTCAAGTTTCTAGTTCATAAATCCAATTATCTCCTACCTGTACCATAGTCAAACATCTGAATCCCTACTATAACTTTGCTGGATTCTTGGATTCTCCCTCAGTAACTTGGTTTTTGTATAAATTTTGTGTACCAGGATCTTGCTCTTTTTGGGCAGCAGACACCCATGTTGCAATCACTAGCAATTTTATTTCTCAATCAATTCCTCATGTTCCCCATGTTGTTGTGTGTGCACACTTAGAGCCATGTTGCAAATTTTCTTTTTAAGGCTCAAAGAATCCGACACACTGTACTCATGTCTATAGCATCGCCACTTGTACCCGTATCCATACAACAGAGATCATTATGCTAAATCACCATCATTTGAACCCATCAACAAATGCTACTTTGCACTGACCACCAACTCTAACACAATATAGCTATCATATTCCACATCTTGTGAAGAATTCTCAGCAAACCACGATTCCTTTCTCCTGAACTTTAGGGAATTATACCCGAAGTACATGTATAACAAATAACCAGGGTTGCCATTGTTGCATGCCAGTAGTTCATTAAGAACAGGACAAATTTTTCAAAACTGTAGAGGACAGCTTCAAACAATCAGATAGAACCTAAGAATAGGACAAAGTTTTCAGGACTGTATAGGACAGCTTCGAACAATCAAACATAATGCTATCACGTATGCAAGCAAGTATTTGCTAGAAAAACTTCATGAATCAACCTAGAATATAAGTATAACATGCTATATGTTTAACATACCGAGTAAATTTGATGCCAATTCGAAAGTGATCATCATTGTTTCCACTGAAGAGGGCTTCAAAGTCAACAGGTTTTGAGGACTTCTGAGGTTTCGCACTCCCTTTCTTATGAGCCAACTCGTTCTGGTTATCATCATTTTCAACCTCTGGACTTCCAAATTCCTCAATAAAACGGTCCATATGCTCCACATTAACCTCCAAATTTTTCAAGCAGAATATCAGTGAGACGGTTAAAACATTTTCATAAAGACTAGAAAGACATGAACACAAAAAAATTACAGCTCAGTAAATTTCTCAGGAGATAGCTATAGCTCCAAGTAATATAATAACCTCCACAAAAAATAAGTGAGAAGTTACTCCAGTTGTATGGAAATAACAGCAACCATATAAATCTATGAACCTATCAACTTCTTTATGCTAACAAGATCTCTCATCTTTACACAGAAATATGAAAATATTAAGCCAAATGAGGCATATCCTCTTTCTCATGATAGTGCTAGACAATCAAAATGAATTAACACCATAAAGATGCCGAAGTAAGACAAAGTTCAATGATTCGCCAACTTCAATTGGTGACTTGCCAAATTGACTGTCTCCAAGAAGCAAGTCGATTGGACAAACAATTATTAATTGCTTTGAATAAGGAGAAAGGGGCAAGTTGAATTATGCAAATAATTGTGTGGCTTTCCAAGTTCAAAACACTACTTGAATGTGTAAGTGAATTCTATAGATGTAAAGGTCATGTACTAAATGAAAGAAGGAAAGCACAGAACCCACAAAAATCCAGCTGTAAGAACTGGATTGAACGATAACGGATACATAACAAGAGAATTCGCCCCAAGGTTGTTCCTATTAGTATAGCTGTTTTGCACTCTTCTTTCCTTTTCTTTATGGCAGTACCCTATCAATCAGTATATAACATAAAGAAAGGATCTGTCAGTCATCTGCTAGAGACATGTTCATCTGCATATGCATTCATGTACAAGAGACTGCTCATCCACAGGCACACAAGTGTGTACAATATTATGCATGTATGCACACATGCAATACTGAATGGAAGAATGTCATGATAAGATAGAAAAACAATCACTGCAACTATCTTCATGATGCATTAAAAACAAAAGGAACCAAACATCAAAAGCACTAAGAATGCAGCACAAGACAAAAGTACTACCACATTCAACAACTCTAACCTAATACTACATTCATAAGGGCATTTAACATTGAAGGAAAAATTACCAATATAATGAACTGAAAAACTTGAAACTAATAGAGCCCAAGATTTAGATACTATATCTTTTACAAGTGAAAAGACAACATTTGTATATGAAGACAAAACCATCATACTCTGCGTGTTGGAGGTGTCAGCTCTATCATCCTCTTCACAACACGGAGCGCAATGCTTCTTAGTGGCAATAAGATCAAAATCTGTCACAGAGGTGTCATAACATGATTGAAAGCAATTATGGATAGAAGAGAATTGCTAGAATAAGGCATTACCAGTAACAGGAAAGGAAGTTTTAAACAGCATATAAATTAGATGTACAAAACAAACAGAATATGACAAAGCAAAACAAGAAACGGCAAGATCTGGCAAGATCAGCCATCAAGAAATGGATAGAACATGACCCTCTTCAAGCTTTAACAAACACAGGAAATCTCAAACCTCCACGTCTTTTTTATGACATTAAATTTATGGATAAATATGAGTTAACAAAAACCCTCGGGATGTAAGTAGAGGCAGCCCACAGATTGGGTGCTCTAAAACTGTAGAATAAAAAAATAAAGCAACAACATACAAAAAGAAAGATTAGATATATTCAATTTGAGATAGAGAAAGTGGGGAAGGGAGGAAAGAGAGCGGAGAGAAGATGACAGACAAAAGATGGACTGAGGTGTCTGTGGAAAAGGTGGGACAAGGTTGCAAACAAGATGTCCTAGGAGAAAAGCAGCAATCAAAAAAAAAATAGAAAACAAGAAAACAAGAAAGAGCAGAAAAAAAAATTAACACAGATGCATCATAGATAGGCATCCCAGAAGCCGCTGCTCTACCTATAAAGGCCAAAACTGTAAGCACCCAAGAAGTATGAGTGTGCTGATGTGGGTGAGAGCATGGCACCGTTCTTGGTCAATGTAGGTAATTACAGCCAAGCCGCATGCCGAGCACAGGCTCACTTGATGCACTGTCTAGCTCACTTACCCACCAGCGCACACGTGCCGATGAGGTCTGAGCCTCAATGCACCGTGTGCTGCACCAACCTCAAGAGGTAAATTTTCCTAAAAAGCTCAACCACCAGATTTTACTAAATCCCTCCAAGTAGCAGAAGTGTAGGCCTCTTTAACTTGTCCATGGAAGGGCTGGTCATTCATCACTCTGTTCGCTGAGCCAAGGGAGGTTCATGCACCGAAGCCTTGACCAGCACACATGTGCCAAGTTGGGGGTCTGACAGTACGGATGACTAGAATGAAGAAGGTAATGACCTTCCTGGTTTAGGATGTGTAAGAAGACATGTTAGAGGTTTACCCAGTTTTGGTTTGGATAAGGAGGGCCCCACCATGAAGGAAGGTGAAGAAGATGAAATGTTACTATGCATGACATCAATACCATCCATCAATAGAGTTCCTTAATCATGTTCGGAATTAACACTTGGTGTTAAGGCTTCAGCACCACGGAAGAGAAATCAGCATCTCAAGTTAAAACCAAGTCTCTATTTTTCATATTTCAACGAGCTTGCCTTAGGCCTTACATGGAATTGATGTATATTATATCTATTTACCTACAAGTAATCTAAATATTTCCTAGAACTTCTTCTTCTCCAAAATAAGGATCTAGATTCCTTAATAATTGTTATGAAAATAACCCTTGTAACAAGAAAGATAAGCACTCAAATATGGAAACTAGTAAAAAGCTGGAAGCACCAACTAAAAAGAAAACTATAACTTCGTAATATTTTCACCAAACTCTTTGGAAAGGATGACCTAGGGTTTAACCCTCGGTTTCATGGTCACAGGCCCCACCCAAGAGCCCACATAGAATCCTTGAAACATCTCCCCAGAAATAAAAATCTATCCCTTCTAGCCTCTTAAGGGGCCAGATATCAAACCGATTAACAATGGTGACAAGCAAGCCATCCATCTCAATTTCATCCACGAGTCCTGATGTGCATGTGTGCGCATTTGTGTATCAGCCAGCAGCAACGTGCTTTGGCTTTTCTAGGCCTCCATAATGTATTAACATGATGATGTTAACACTCTACATTGACAGAATTATTTCAGTCATTAACAAAATATGAGATGGGTTAACCTAGTATCTTATGTAGTTAAAGACAAATTCTTACATTGATATAGTGACAAAGCAATGTCAGAGAGTATAAACTATAAAGCTAAGGCACATACAATGAAGCCCATAATATCTTTTAGTAAGAGAATCCATTTTTATTAAGCATTGAGGGAATTCAAGTCCCATTAGCATTCGGACCAAGCTATACTCTCTATAGAAAATATTATCCTATCAAAAACTTCAAGTCCAAGAACAGATTGCTGTTCCATCTAAAATATTCTTCCAGAGTGTAAAAGGCTGTCGGAACAATGTCAGTCCAAGTATTATCCAACGAAATGATTATGTCTTCAGAATTAAGACCATCTCAATAAATGTTACTCTCAGCTTGCAGCCATACCAAGTTGAAGTACTGCAAATTTCATTTTGGTCCATTTTTACACCCCATTGTCAATATAAAGTAGCAATATCAATGTGTACCTTTGGACGAGTAAAGCCCTGATCTAAGAAGTCAACACCAACATCAGGAGCGTGTTCATCATTTCGCATCTGCTTGGCCAACTTCTCATTGCTTCTCATCACAAGATCTCTAGTTCTATAGACATGATTCAACTACAAACAATGTGTGAAAAACTTGTCAATACTACATGAGAGGAAGCTGTCATAATATAGAAAGAAGACACTCAAGTATCTATTTAAAAGAATTGACAAAAGAAAACAAACACCATAAGGGAAAGAGGAAAGGAACCACACATACAGAATGTATAATGTACGCATCCATGACATTTGAGTCCTCAAATGAACCTTTAAGATAAAACGGCTTTTTGTTTGTATGTAGTATATCCCTGTAACTATTGCCTGAAAAAACAAAACAGGAAAAAGAATCAAGCATGTCAAGAAACAGGAGCACAAATTCAGACCCCGCATTGTGAATTTCACAGCCTCAGAAGATGCTCCAATCATGCACTAGTGTAACAACTTTTCAATTACTAAAACAAGCATCAATCCTTCAGATATGCTCCATGCCTTTTCAAGCGAGAAAAGCCAAGATCCAGGAATATTATAACTACGTAGATCAATAAAGAACAAATGTAGCCGAAACAACTAAAAAGAATCATCAATACCTATCTTCACATGCCAGGATTCAGAACACCGTATAAGAATTTAAATTTCCTGTTGTCTCCACTAACAAAATGTGTTTTGTTCTCCCAAATGAAGTATTGAACCCTCGCTATACTGACAAGAACACATTTCTTTAATTTTTGGTAGTATAGGCAGTTTCATCAATCAAGAATTATTGGAGCAATTTGAGGGTTTCAATACTTCTTGGAACTTCATATTTCTAGCATAACCTCACATCGGCATTTTGACAAAATTGTCATATAGAAGACATTCTCAGTGATACCAGTCTCTGTGTACTTAATTAGCCAACATAAGAAATCACTAAGCAAAGGATGTGGCATGAAATTGGGGCATCTAACTCTGCTATGCCGCACGAAACATGTGCTCAAGCAAAATAAGGTAGAAATTTCTTGTTGAAATATAAGCAAGTGAACTCCAGAACTTTCCGAAACAGTTTGCTACGTGGAGAAATATAGATGGGTAATAAGCCGTAATCAATATTCAAAAGGGTTGCTTCGCCAACGAATTCTTAGTAATCCACCCAACAAAGCGCAAAACACAGGGTTGCAAAAACAAAAACCCAGCAACCAGGTGAACTAACAAGAAATGCTAACCTCAATGTCATTCGATGGAGGAGTTTAGCGGATTAGCAGAGTTTGGTATGTATACATATAGGTTGAATGAACAGGCAGATGCTCTAGTTGATGGCAGGTTAGTAGGGCTTCTTTATTTGTAGATGATGGATAGCCCAACGTGTACAATGCAAGCCGGTCCTAGGGATATCATACTGCTATCAATCAGAATGTCCTATTTGCTTTTGTACAGTCCCTTCTTTTAATGTAATAGTCTTATTTATTACAAAAAAAAGTAGGCAACAAAAGCAAGGAGGGGCAATGGTCATTGTTTCCACCATTTTTTTTGTCATAGGCACCAAAACTAGTGGGTGAATTATTAAAGTCATGTGAGGCTGAATCATCTGTCTTGTTCAGAAATAATAAGTCGTTCCTTTTGAATATTCAAAGGTATGAATAGAAATAGGCAGACTCACTCACACAAAGAGAAGAACTGTCCCTGCATGGAAGAACTTAAATCTTGCGACCCTGAATTCGCATAAACATCCATCCAATGTTGATACAACTGCACCTTAAGGTCAGTACCAGCTTTTGTTTCTTTTTCCTGAAACACAAAAAGTATATGGTAACATAAGGTTATCAATTAAACACAAAATAGCTCATTTCATTTACCCAATACAGAACTGCAGAACTCAAATGACAAAGAATTAAATCTTATCTTTTTTTGGTAACCGACAATCTATGCAATTCATCAATATGCTAAGACATCATTTCAGAGTCAAACTTACCTTTCAGCCTTGAAACAAACCTTCCTGCAAAACTCAAGTAGCATGCTTTTGTAAAATTAGACAGCATTTTTTACCAGTTCCAAATGAGAAAAGAGTCTATTTGAGATATCATAAAAGCCAAGACTTCCACAAAAGCATATATAATATACAAAGTGGCCAGTAATTTTACCAAGCAGTATATATTCCAAGGGTGTGCATATATTTTATCAGTCAACTAAACCAGGCAGCATAATACATAAAATGTGAAAAGTGAGGGAAAATGTAAATGATAAAGGAGTGACAAGAACAATGGTAAGGACTCTGAAAGGTCGAGAGCCAACATAAATATAAGAACTTTCTATTAAACTGGCAAAACATAGGGCATCATGGCCGTGTAGGCAATGCCCATACAGAAGAATACAAAAAAGCCATTATTCACATACCGTTTTTCTTTTCTTTCTTTTTATTTTTTTTTCCAATGAAGTGTGCTATATTCCTTTTGTTTGAGCAGACTAATGGATGAGAAGGTTCATGAGCACATAAAAGAGTGCCCAAAGATAAGAATACAAAGTTGCAGATTAACCAGCACAGTTCACAAGCAACTACAGCATGGGAGAATGTAAAAGGATATCATTTAGTCATTCTTCCATTGCATCCACAATTCCAATACATTGACTTGCCGTGTGCTCGTGATGAAAAACACATTGACAAGTAAAGCATTATCTCCTGGAATCTTTTATCCAAGCTTGGATATTTCTTTTAGAATTCATGGGTGTACAATAAACATGGGATAAAGTACATAACCAGGGAAAAGGTCAACCAGATGAAAGGACAATTGACTTGTATTACCAATGAGTTTGCATGCAGCATACATTCATAATCACATTCCAGAACCAAAATAGGATTAATAAAAAACAAGGCAGGTACAAACAATGAGAAAAGAAGAAACTATGGTGAAAGTAATACCTTCAGAAAACACTGCCCAGTCCCCTTCCATTTGGACATTGGCATGCCAATTGCAGGAACTTCCCATTCAAACATCCATTTCCCAGTATTCAAACATTTGACTTCTTCTTCAGACAATGTATGTCCAAGATGAATCCTAAAGGAACTACAAAATGTACATAGAGATTAAATTCTAGACCAAGAATAGCCCATGTAAATATCAACTACTTTAGTTGCATTGTTGTATAACAAGGACTTCCAAGATGAAGATCATTTGGGACATCACTCGAGAAAAACAAGCAAAATCATGGAGTCAGCATAACACAGAGTAATGTGAGCACCCTCCAACAACCGACGAGAAAAAACCATTTCTGAAAGGCTGGCACATAAAAGTAGTAACCCAAAAATCACAAAAATGAAATATGAAAAGACACAAAGGTAATGGTTCCATTTTTCAAAAAATACCATAAAAGAAAACATATAACAAAGTTCAACTGAACAATCAACAAAATTTAAAAGAAGAATGTTCCCGAATATCATAAAGAATACAACTAAATATACTAGTGGGAATGATAATTTATATCTAGTTTCTTAAAGGGCCACATTGTGCCAATACAAGTTGATCTCCAACTAAACAACACCACCAAAACTAGTCACAAGCAAGTTTCTAGTATGGCTGTTTTCTAATATATATTCCAACTCAGAAATGGCAAATTTGGAGATCTAATCCAACTTGTACATAAATTGATTGCCTGCTAGCGAAAACAAAGGCCATACACAAAGTACACAGAACAGCAGCAAAATGATAGTAAATCAGAACTATAACTCACCATACATTTAGAGCATGAGACTATAGTTAGAATAACAATTCAGAATAAATATCAGAAACCAAAGATGAAATATTTTTTATCAGAATGAAACCAAAGATGAAATATTAGAATGGCACATTTAGTAACCTGGTGCATTCTGCAGCCCCATTTTCCAATTGATCGTCACTTTCCAGATCGAGATCTGATTCTTCATCAGGGGCTTGACTCTTCAGCTCTGATCCACCATCACTATGTTCGTTTTCAGAAGATTTATCCTCAAATTCAGATTCATCTTCATCGACATGGATACAAGTGTCAGAAACAGCACCTTAATAAGCAAAATTTTAGACATCAAATGTCTGTGCTGTTCATATAGTACAAGACAACTCTTTATCCTTTTTTAAATTTGACAAGACTACAGAAAGCAAGAAGCTCCGAGCATAAAAAAAGGAAATTGTTACTTTATATGGTGAAAAGATAAAGAAATAGCTAACCTATCGGTCAGTCAACAAAAAAGTAATCTTGGTGCAGTTTTAAAAGAAAATTTTCCTATTAAATGTTACTTGCCTAGAAAGAGAAAAAAAATATCATGTTACCATTATATTGGAAAATGCTATTTTATAGCAGTTTATACATATAAATATTCCTTTTATAGTTTATATAGTTATTTTTCCAATAAGGAAAAATAGCTTCATACGAAATCTGATGTGAAAAGTGTGTGTGTATGTGTGTGGAAGTAGATTTTAGGGGCCAGTGGGCCAATGTTACAGTAGGCAGAGTAGACCAGAAATCTCGACAGCCCACATTCACCAACAGGGGCAGGGGCAGGGGCATTACAATCACTTTTTGATGCGTCTGATTTTCTTTATTCTTTGTTTCCTTTTTTTTGTGCATATAACTTCATTGCACCTCTCCCTAAATTTCAGCTAAAATGACATATAGAAAAAATTAGTAATAACAGTGCCCTTATATGTTATTCGTTGGATGCGCTCATATTGAATCTAAGTTGTCTAGCTGCTGTTCAATGGGCCGACCGACTCATGCGCACATACAAAAACATGCACAATATACACATACATAGGGTTATTCTAGAATACATCACACTAATGGTGAACCTAGAATTTAGTAGTCATAAATTTTTTACCATAAAATACCCTTACATGGTCAAAAATGACTTTTTGCCATAAATATTCATGTACTTCGGAAATGGTATTTTCATCTTTTTAAAATCCCCCCAAAACTCCATTTCAAATTCAAAAAGATTCTTTTGACTTTTTAAATGATGATTGGACTTTATAGGTAATCTAAAATTACTGCCTTTCTCAAAAATTTCAAATACGCTATTGTTAACGCAATTTTTTATATTGGTAAGGCCATTTGAGGTCAAAAAATTTGAAGTACAAAATTCTAAGTTCACCATTAGTATGGTGTTTCTGGAATAACCCATATATATATGGGTGCGGTTTAGAGTAGAGCGCACCTTCAAATAATATCAAGAAATGTGGTTTCAATACTGGAAATCTTTGTAATAGAATGTAATAGAATGTAAAGCTTCAAAAACAGTGTATATCGACCAGATCTATGAAAATCTTGAAAAAAAAAATTTGAAAGTGTTAACCTTTAATAAAAGAGTGAAATAGTGCAAGTGACCTTGGCAATCCACAGTAAAGGATGCTCAAGGGATGAGATGACCAAAAATGGAATCAAAATCCTTTTTTAAGAGGTTATAGTGAGACACAACAACCTAGAAAAGAGGTCTTTCCACCATACAAGGTCCATAAAACAGAAAGTAAAAAACAAAAAGCCCAAAAATCTTCTAGTCGTTTGGCATTGTTGCTGCTTCTTTGGCGAGGGAGTCAGCTGCTTGGCTTCCTTCCCTCCATGTATGCATCCACACGACGGACATATTCCTGCAAAGGTATTCAATCTCGTCAAACAAGTGGTTCAAATGCCAGGGGGGAGGAGGGAAGATTCTGCACCCAAGAAATTGTGTCACTGGAATCTCCCTCAACGAGGATAGAGTACACGTCTAGGGGTTGGAAGAGTTTGAGGCCTTCCAAAAGTGCCAGCACTTAAGGCTCCATAGAATTTGCATGGCCAATGTGTTTGGAGGCAGTTGCCACAGCAGCACCGAGGTGGTCTCTGAGGATAGCTCCAATGCCTGAAGGGTCGGGGTTTCCGAGAGAACAGCTGTCAAAGTTGAGCTTAAGCTCTCCCACAGGTAGAGGTTTCCATCTAGATGCTCGCGGCAAACGCAAGCGATGGAATTGAAGGACGTTGTTCCAGTCCTGGTTGAAGGCCGAGGAGGGAACACCGTTGAAGCATTGGTGGTTGGTCGCCCAAAAGATGATTGTGGACTTAAGTTTGTTGAATACTTTGAGCCAAATCGAGAATTCCCCTCGGAAAATTCTATTGTTCCGCTTGATCCAAATGCCCACAAGGCAGCAGCCACTGTAGTTTTCCAAAGAAGGATCCCTTCTTTGTGCCAAGGGAAGGGTTGGATGGAAGATATGATGGAGGTCACTTCTGCAGGTAGCACCCATTGCACATTGAACAGTTTGAGGATAGCTCCCCAGAGATTGAAGGCATATGGGCCGTGCAGTTGGAGGTGGTTGTTTGTTTCCTCTTCCGAGAGGCACAGGACACACAGATTTGGAATTGGGATTCCTTGTCTTTGTAGATGATCTACTGCTAAAACTCTCTGTGAAAGAGCCAGCCACATGAAAATCTTGATTTTTGGTGGGGCGAAAGATTTCCAAGCCTAGGCAGCTGTAGCATTAGGGGCGAGAGGGAAGGATGGTGGAAGAGAAAGGTTGTGAAAGAAAGAGGAAACCAAGAAATCCCCTGATGGTGAGGGACACCACATGATGCAATCAGGCCCCGATGGTGCTAAGAAGAAGGCCTGAAGTTCTGCCGCTAGGGTAGTAAAACTCTGAGTTTCTAGATCGTTGAGAGGCCTCCAGAAATGTGGATTCCATGATCGAAGAGACCCTGCCGGTAGCATTTTGTCAGCCACAGTTGCTCCCTGATCTCTGGTCAGAGAGAAGAGATCGAAAAATCTGTCCTTCAAAGGGGTGGTGTGCCCTATCCACAGGTCTAACCAGAAAAGAATTCTATTTCCCGACCTCAGATGGAATCTAATACTAGACAAGAAGGCTGGAAAGGTTGAGCATATTGATCTCAACATGCCCGAGGACCTCTGGTTAGCCCTACAGTTCGATAGCCAGGGAGGGTTTGGCAAATGATATTTGTTTTTTAGGGCGTCAATCCATAATTGGTTACTCAGGGTTGAGAGATACCAACACCATTTTCCTAGTAGTGCCTTGTTTTGGATTTTGAGGTTCTTGATTCCTAGGCCACCCCTATTTTTTGGTCCGGTAGATTTTATCTCAGGCTATCAGATGGATTTTGTCATTGGAATCATCTACAGACCAGAAGAATCTTCTCATCAATTGTTCAATTATGGAGCTCACAGCTATAGGCATATGAAAAGTGGACATTTGGTAAACCGGTATGTTGGCAAGTGTTGCTTTGATCAGAGTGAGTCTTCCTCCTGGAGAGAGGAAGCGGCCTTTCCATCTGACCAATCTGCGGTCCACTTTATCTAAGATATGGGACCAAAGGCTAAAGCAGGGATTGCCTATACAAAGCGGAAGCCCAAGGTATTTCGAGGACAGTAACTCTACCCCACAACCCAACTGTGAGCAAAGGTTGAGAGTGTAGTGGGGTCCACCTTTACACCCATTATTTTTGTTTTTTCAAAATTGACTGTGAAACCTGTTGCAAAGTCAAAGCATCTGAGAAATAGGAAAATCTTGAAAATTGACGGTCCAAAAATGCATTACAAGATGTACCATTTTCAAAACTTGAAATCCATTTTTTCTTCATGTCGATGGATCGTGATGTTGAGATGATCAATTTGAGGATATTTGGGAATCAAAACAACCTCATCAAGTGAAATTTTTGAGGTGCGCTCTAATTTGATTGTTTAGAGCCTCGGCTCTATA